GTTAGAGGGTGGCGTAGGGTGGCAGGAAGCGTTAGAGGGTGGCGTAGGGTGGCAGGAAGAGTTAGAGGGTGGCGTAGGGTGGCAGGAAGCATTAGAGGGTGGCGTAGGGTGGCAGGAAGAGTTAGAGGGTGGTGCAGGGTGGCAGGAAGTTAGAGGGTGGCGCAGGGTGCCCGGGCAGAGGGCTCTAGATGAAGAGCCAGAAAGGGTCATCGCGGCAGTGGTGATGTAATTTTGTTAGCGCTTGTTAAACTCCACGGACGAGGGCACGTGTACACCCTGGAATAACTCATTGAATCCCCAGCCCGAATATGACCCCCTCCCTTTATAGGTGGGGGGTCAGCGGGAAGGAAGGCTCTCGCCGTCCACACAGGGACTCGGGTTCGGTTTCTGGCCCGGGCTCTTCACGCAGGCCATGGCCGTACTCCATCCGTGGAGGCTTGCATGCTGGCGTGAGTGCCGTGAGTGAGGGTGAACACGTGGCAGCAGAGCTTCCAGGCGAAGGCAGACTAGGAAGACAGGCCTGATGCTATAGCTCCAAAAATAAATCATCCAATAAAAACCTGTGGATCCCAGCAGCCCAGTCCCTTAGTGCCTTGAGTCGGCCTGAGTCGGGGATCTGTTGGGCAACAGCTGACAACAGTGACAACGTTTGATAGATGGGGACAGCGTGGCACAGAGCACAACCTGCCCAAGGCCTACAGCTGCGCTAGGAGGAGGAGCCGGGGTCGGAGAAGGGGTCAGCAGCTGACGGGGGGTGGGGTGGGCAGGGGTGGGGGCTCTAGGGTTGAGCAGAGGTGTCCCCGCTGAGTGGCATGCCATCGGGTCTTTGTCACACATTTGAGACATCTTCGGCCTTGTCTTTCTTTAGCAGATAAACTCATGCTGTGGGTTGTTGGGGTTTGGGGCCAGGCCAGGCATCCTTGCTCTCAGTGGTGGGAAGATGGGAGCAGGTGTTCAGAGCTGACGTGCTTACAGCAAGGGGCTGGAGGGAGTGGGGGTGGGGGTGGGAGGCCCAGAGCTCAGAGGAGGGGCCGAGCGGGGCTCACCAGAGCGGGCGTTGATCCGAAACTGGGAGGAGCCCTCTAAGGAGTAGATGACAGACTCCTGGCCGTACTCCCGGGAGCGGTCCAGGTCCGTGGCGTTCAGGAGCAGCACCGTGGCACCTGCCAGGAGACAAGCAGGGGCTGCTCACCCTGGGCTCACAGCCCCAGGCCATTGAGCAGGACACGAGCGCCTTCCTCCTGGTGACCAGCCCCCCCCAGAGAGCCAAAAGCCCCCCCCCCTCCTTGCTGGGGTGTCCCAGAGATGTCCAGGCTTAGCTGACACGCCTGTGGCTGAGTTCCTTGGACTGTGTGGGGGCAGGGCTGTTGAGGACGGGGATACAGGTCGCGGGCAGACCACAGCCTGGCCTCCAGCTTGGCCTGACTGGTCACCGCATTAAACACCATCAAGTTATCTGCTTTAACTTCGAGTCTAAAAGAAATGAAGCTCCCTATTAAACCCATCTACATTTATCGTCCTAATTTCCAGCTCATTTTATCTTCTTCACCAGTGGGACCACACGGCTTTGATTTCCCCTTTCACGGCTGGCTACAGCCCTTCCGCCCCCACCTCTGGGCTTCCTGGTTGGGTCAGCCTTCCCCCGAGCCGAGGCCCTGCCCTCTGAGATTCCGGCTCACACTCACTTCCTGCCGCCCAGCCTGCCTGCTGGGGCACAGACTCCCAGAAGCATCCCCCCAGCCTGGGCCCCCATTCTGCAGTCCCCAGGGTCCCACGCCAAGAAGGGCCCTGCTCAGTGTCCTGAAATTCCTAAAGGCCTGTGGGCAAGGAGCTCATCCCTGCATTTTACACGGGGCCCTGCAGATGGAGGTGGCTGCGTTTCACCCGGGCGGAGCCCAGGAGGAAACCTTCTTGGGTCAAAGCAGGAGCAGTCCTCCAATGGGGAGGCAGCCCACTTCCCTCTACACTACCCCCCCTCCCCCTCCCCAACCCCCGGATTAGGAAGGGGCTGCTAGCTTGGTGAGGCCCAGGCCTAATGGTCCCCACTGCAGCCTCCTGGGCAGATGGACCTCAAGGACAAGCTACAGGTCTGCCCAGGGGGGGCAGCTGCACATTGTGGGGGCTTTGTCAACAGCTGCTGGATGGCAGGCATTGGACCTCTCGAAAGGCCCCCTTCGTTTGTCGCAGAATGTGTGGACACAGGACACAGACACAAGGAACGTCCACCCCACCGGTCTCCGTGCCGGGCACGCGCACCTGCCATGATGTTCTCCAGCACAGAGACGAAGTAGGCGGGCCTGCTGAAGGTGGGCGGGTTGTCGTTCTCATCCTGGAAGGAAGACAGACAGGCTGGAAGGAGCTGAGAGGCAGGCAGGCCTGGCACCTCCCCAAGACTGGCACCCAGGGGCAGGATGCGCCTGGCTGGGCTACCGGAGTGGTCAGGGTCCTTCTGACTGGGCTGTGATTCAAGGAGGAAGGACAGGTCTTGGGAAGACACCCAGAGTCAGTGAAGGGTGAGGAGATGGAGGAGGTCAAGGAGGGGCAGGAGGCAGCTGTTAGAATTGCCCATAATTCTGCTCCCCAAGTTCTTCCCAGCCTCCTTATCTGTCCTGGTTCCCAGCTGCACGCCTACCCTCACTTGACCACCTCCACGACCGGCCCGCCCAGCCGGGTGACGGTGGAAGGGAGGCTCCGGGAACCCCTCTGGAAACCAAGGGAGAGGAGCTCCCCAACCCAGGAGAGCCAGACGTTTGAGCACCCCACAGGGGGCACATGGCCTGAGCCCGGCCCCGGGCTGGCTGCAAGCAGTCCCAGCCAGACCCCTTGCCCACAGCCAGGCCACCTGCCAGCTCTGCAGGAGGGAGCCTCCATGCGGTGCCATCACTGGTGACCAGGTGAGAAGGGACCATGGCTAGGGGGTGCGGTGTGGCTGTGGGGGCTGCGCCAGGCAGGGTGGGTGGCCCCTCTGGGAAGGAGGCCCAGAAACCGCAGCTGTCTCTCCCGCTCCCATGCTTCTTCCGTCCCCTGCCCTCGCCCCCCTCAATCAGAGGAGAACTTCCTTGATGTAAAGGACCCTCATCCTTGCCACTGCCTTTTGCAATCACCCAGCGAGAGGCCTCCTGTCCCCTGTTGGAGGGAGCCCTGCTGGCCCACAGGACTCAGTTTTCCCCTCTGCTGCGGGGCCAGCTAAGGGCGGCTCCTGAGGGGCTCAGGGGTCACACTCAGTCACCTACTCCTCCCCCACCAGGCAGTCTCTAGGTGGCAGCCCACTCCTAACTTAAACCTGTGCAGCTGCACTGCGGAAGGAAGGCCTGGGAATCTACTTCCATCACATGACAATCAAGAAGACCCCATGGGGGTGACCCCACGGGGGCTCCAGGAGTCAGAAAACCCACGGATGGCATCAGGACTGGTCCAGGCTTCTCCCCCGGAACTGGAAGCTCTTTGCAGTCAAGAGGTCTGCCCGGTGCCCAGAGCTGCAGGCATGATGGCTGAGCCAGCCTGGGGGAGACGGGAGCCAAGGTTGCCTGCCGCGCACCCTGGGGCTTCAGAGAACCCACCTGCTGGGGGCTCAGGGTCCCTTTCCCCCTGGTGGTGCAGTGGGCTGCGAAGTGCAAGGTCAGGAGTTGGAGACCACCAGCTGCTGCAAGGGGGAAGGATGGGGTTCTCTACTCCTGCCAACAGCCGCAGTCTCGGACACACAGGGGCAGTGCTACCCTGCCCGATGGGGCGCTACGCGTCAGGACAGGTTCCATGCCAGTGAGCTTCCTACCCGTCCTTGGCTCTGGGCTGCACCCTGGCCCTCTCCTCAACCTCAGAGAGCCACTGGTCTGTGGTCTCACTTGGCCCTGGCCCGTGATGTGGCATAGGTGCCCAGAGAGGTGTGTATTTAAGCCTTCTACTCGGCTGCGCGGAACAGCGCGGCGGACGTCAGTGACAGAGAACGAGGCAGGAACTTATTAGCGGTGATATTTCCCCGGATCCTGGCGCTGCATCCGCTATTAGTTCTAATTCAGTGGCTCCCGCTCTGAAAGCTTATTGTCCCCTAATGGGAAATCTACAAACCGAGTTTGACTTCTTTATTAAAAACCAACAAGCAGTGGATGAGAAGGAATCGCCAGCACTCCTCGCTGGCCCCTCCTTCCTTCCGAGCTCTGACTCCGGCGCTGCCTCCCCACGTCCCCACCCCACCCTGCGCCCAAGTGCCACCACCAACCACTTCAGCAGCAGCAGCTGGATTTTTCCCCTTTCCTTTTTCTTTTCACTTGAGAGAAAACCCCTTTGGCGGAGGGAGGCAGCTGAGCCAAGTGACAGCTACTTAAAAATCACCCACATGCAAAATCATCCTGAAGGCGGTGACCTTTTCAAGGGTGGGCGCGGACACTGCCG